GATGCCTTGCGTTCCCGGCCCAGGGCTACCTTCCCAATTGTGTTCATCCCCAGTAGCCCTTTTGTTGGGGCCATAAGTAACACAAACCAAACACATCACTTTTGTATGCCTTCCTAAATTCTAGTCTGCCTTTTTACCCTGTTTTACATTCTCCTTGGCAGATAGTTGAGTCACATGATCCAGTTTCATAGATAAACCTCAACCATCATTTTGTCTGTCTTGAGTAAGTATGAGTGGGAGGCATTTAGGAGAAGTTCTTGACCCCAGGCTGTATCTTGGGTTCAGGTGTTTGAGGACACACTGTCTTGATGAGGCAAGGCTGTCTTCACTGAAGTGTGCTGAGACAGAATGGCTGGCTGTGAAAGCACCACTCCCCACAAGGCCTCTTCCAGACTCAGATGCTTGCTCTCCTCTCTGCTGGCTTTTCAAATTAGGAAAAAGACTTTTTGTCTACATTGGCTTCATTGTAATAGAGTTGAGTTCACACGCAAGAGGCGTGCCATGAAATTTCTTGGAACAATATTAACTTATAGGTTTTCCTTGACCTATGAAATAAACTGATGTAATTTTTAATTAGTGCAAACCCTAAATTATGTGCAAAACTATGTATATATTCTTTTCTTTTCCTTCAAGAGAGCCCATCTTTTCTAAGACTTTGAACCAGTCTGACATCCCCTCTGGCATTTAAACAATCACCAGTTGGGCTACTTGACTAGTAACTCCTATTTTCTTTGCTCCAAAGCTGTTAAACCTGTAACAATGCCCTTGGAGGGTCTCAAGTTCTTTTAGGCTGTCACTGTTTGATTTGATTTACAAGTGTTATGACATACTGATTTCTATCAGCTCTCATATCCTTATAGGCAAGAGAGGACTTCCTAGCCGACCTTTACAGAAGTTTCTCTAGAGCCCTGAGTATCTAGAGGACACAATCACAGAACCTTCTCTGAGTATTTGATTCTCTGATTTCCAGTCACGTTCACCATCAGTTTATGCCTTTGAAATATCCCACTGGAAAGCAAGTAAGTTATTGGCCTACTCTTGTTTTTTCAGCTTCGTTTAACTGTCATTAGATTAGCAGTTGTGTGACTGTGTTTCTCAGACTGTGCTCTGCACTTGAGAAATACAGAATGCTCTAGGGCCTGCCTTGGCTCACCAAGGTCATAAGAGGGCAAATTATGGTTTAGGACAACTTAGTGCCCGCTGACCAGCACTAGCAGGGGGATCTGCTATTAGAGATGGCTCTCTGCAGGCTGTAGTGCTCACAAGAGGCTGTTTGCAGGAGAAAAGAGTTGGATTTGGCCTTGAAAGAGGAAGCATGGGGTAGATAAATAGAGAAGCACAAATTATAAAATTCATTCAAAACCAGGGTCTGAAAAGGACTGGAAGAATAGAGGCTGGTTGGAGTTCATGTCAGTCATGTCCAAGGGTCATAGGACACCCAGAAGCTGATTTCAGAATACAAGTCAGTCACTTACCCATAGCCTCCATTATCCCTAGTGCACTGCCTCTGTTCCCTGTCCTAATTGTACTACCTGTGATTCAATTCACAAGCATTTCCTAGGGGCCCAGTATGAGCCAACTTCAATGTGAGGTGAGGCTTGAGGGAGAACCTGTCTTCTTTATTCCAATTAGGATATTGATTAAAAAAAAAAACCACAATGAAATGTATCTTTTTAGCCAATTTTAAGTAAACAGTGCCACAGACCTCTAGAATTTTTCCATATTGAAACTCCGCATCTACTGTGTAACAACTCTGACCTTCCCCCACTGCCCTGTCAGCCACCATTCTACTTTACCTTTCTAAAAGTGGACAAATCTATCTTTCCTCCAAGTGGCTTAGGAGCATGCTAGAATTTCTTTGCATACAATTCTGGATTTTCTGGGGTGGTCAGTAAGGTCTGCTGGTATGCCCATGTATCACAGGACCATACGACAGTATAACCTAATTCCTAAGTTTTCTAAGTTCCTAAGTTTTCAATTTTTATGAGTTTCACTTGTTGTTTATTTCAGTCTCCATGTTCTCTCTGATGTTGGATTCTTTTTTATATATATATAAAGATTTATTTATTTTTATTGGAAAGTCAGATATACAGAGAGAAGGAGAAACAGAGAGGAAGATCCTCTGTCTGATGATTCATTCCCCGAATGAGCACAACAGCTGGTGCTGTGCCAATCTGAAGCCAGGAGCCAGGAACCTCCTCCAGGATCCCACACGGGTATAGGATCCCAAAAGCATTGGGCTGTCCTTGACTGCTTTCCCAGGCCATAAACAGGGAGCTGGATGGGAAGTGGAGCTACCGGGATCAGAACCAGCGCTCACATGGGATCCTGGCATGTTCAAGGCAAGGACTTTAGCCGCTAGGCCACGCTGCCGGGCCCTGATGTTGGATTCTAGGGCAGTCTATGTTATCCTGTGTATTACATGACTTACCTTTGAAAATATTATGACAGGGCCCGTGCAGTAGCCTAGCAGCTGAAGTCCTCACCTCACACGTGCTGGGATCCCGTATGGGCTCTAGTTCTAATCCTGGCAGCCCCACTTTTCATCCAGCTGCCTGCTTGTGGCCTGGGAAGCAGTTGGGGAATACCCAAAGCGTTGGGACCCTACATCCATGTGGGAGACGTGGAAAAGGTTCCTGACTCTGGATAAATAAAGTATTATGACGAATCCAAGGTGTCAGTCATTTGTGGGAGCAAGTTAGAGGGGGAGAAAAAACACTTCATGTCAGAGTGAGTGAAGGTTGCATTGAAAGCGGCTATTTACTGAACTTCAACTATTGGTGATGCTTGGAAATAGCCTTTACTTTTTCCTTATCCTAGGAGCCATAACAAGTAGCTGGTGGGTGATTAGCAATCCGAATGAGGTAAAGCCTAGTTTTGTTATCCTGGGTAAGAAGGAGATACTACTAAGGAGAACCCTGGTTTGTGGAGCACAGCGTGCCGGGGGTTTGAGTGGCATCCAGGACTTTCCAGCACCTAAACGAAGAGCACAGAACAACCTTGGAAGTAGGCTTCCTCAGAGCTTCCAAGGAGCACCAAGCCTGACACAGAACTTCAGCCTTTAGAATACTAATGGATGTTTAACCACGGTTGGGGATGGGAGTGAAGGGTAGTGTGTGTGTGGTGCCTGATCCCACTGTGGCTGCTGATGGGAAGCCAGGAGCGAATTCTTGCAGTTCTTGAAACGTAGCAGTCAGCTCTGACAGTCCAAGCTCTTGTGACCCAGTTTCAGTCCACTGATGGCTGCCAAAGGCCTGCGTGGGGTTTTTGGAGCAGAAAGTAATTGTGGTTCATTTTCCCATGGGAACCACCTATGTAGAAGTTCTCCCCAGGGCACTGGAGGCCTGTGTGCCACCCACTCTGAGAAGCTTGTGATATTTCCCCTTCTCAGAACATTGCCTAACCATCATGCCAGGCAGCCTTGGCAGAGACATATGCTAGGAAGCTGAGACTTAAGACTCCCAGGAGAGCCATAACTGAATTTCCTGTACTTGGCATGCTGTTTCTTTACAACAGCCTATAGTGTTACCCTGCCTCTATAGCCGTGAGTGATGGTTGCAAGCACATGACAGGAGCCCTGGCTGGCTGCCCTGCCTTCTTTGTGGCCTTTGTTTATGTTCTGGCATTTCATTTGACCTGTTTGGCAGGGAAGTCTTTCGGTGAGAGCTGTTTGTTCAGTGATTTCACTAAGCCAGGAAAGACACTGATACAGAGAGTTTGCTACAAATTGCTTATTCACAGCAACTAGCCACCTACTGTGTAGGCAGAGTGTCCCGAGGAGGGCCTCATAAAAGGGTCAGCTCATGGATGATGTGTGGCTGGAATGACGCTGTCTCACCAGGTGCACAGATGGGAGAAATAAATATTCCGAATATTCTATTTAAAAATAAAATTGACGGAAATAAATAGAAAAAATAACTAGTAGAAATTGTATTGGACACTTTTCCCTTTTAAAAAAAAAAGATTTATTTATTTTTGTTAGAACGGCAGATTAACAGAGAGGAGAGACAGAGAGAAAGATCTGTCCATTGATTCACTCACCAGGTGGCCACAACAGCTGGAGCTGAGCCAGTTAGATCCAGTTCAAAGCCAGGAGCCAAGAGCTTCTTTAAGATTTCCCACATAGATGAGGATCCCAAGGCTTTGGGCCATCCTCTGCTTTCCCAGGCCACAAGCAGGAAGTTGGATTGGAAGTGGACATGAACTGATACCCCTGTGGGCTCCTGGCATTTGCAGGGAGAAGATTAGCCAGTTGAGCCATCATGTCAGGCCCCACTTTTCTTCTTTTAAGATTTACATATTGGGCCAAGCGTGGTGACCAAATGGCTAAACTCCTTGCCTTGAATGCTCCGGGATCCTATATGGGCACCAGTTCTAATCCCGTAAGCTCCACTTCCCATCCAGCTCCCTGCTTATGGTCTGGGAAAGCAGTCGAAGACAGCCCAAAGCCTTAGGACCCTGCACCCACGTGGGAGACTTGGAGGAAGGTCCTGGCCCCGGATCAGCACAGCACCAGCCATTGCACGCACTTAGGGAGTGAATCATCAGACAGAAGATCTTCTGTGTCTCCTCTGTATAACTGACTTTGTGATACAAATAAATAAATCTTTTAAAAAATATTTACATATTTATTTCAAAGTATTACACAGAAGGCCTGGCACAGTAGCCTCGTGGCCAACTCCTTGCCTTGCATGCACTGGGATCCCGATACATATGGCTGCCAGTTTGTGACTGTCATCCACCCATAAGTGAGACCAGATTGAAGTCCCTGCTTGTATGCTAGCTCATCCAGCTCTGGCAGTATGGCCATTTGGAGAGTGAACCAGTGCATAAAAGATAACTCTCTCTTTTAATCTCGCTCATTCTCCTTTTGTCTCTGGTGCTTTTCCTTTCAAATAAATAGATTTTTTTAAGGATTTATTTATTTTTATTGCAAAGTCAGACATACAGAGAAGAATTGAGACAGAAAGGAAGCTCTTCCATCTGATGAATCACTTCCCAAGTGACCACAACAACCAGAACTGTGCTGATCCAAAGCCAGGAGTGCAGATCCTCTTCCAGGTCTCCCACACAAGTGCAGGGTCCCAAGGCTTTGGGCCATCCTCAACTGCTTTCCCAGGCCACAAGCTGGGAACTGGTTGGGAAGCAGGACCACCGGGATTAGAATTGGCTGTTGCGGTCACTTGGGGAGTAATTCATCAGACAGAAGATCTTCTCTCTGTCTCTCCTCCTCTCTGTATATCTGACTTTGCAATAAAAATAAATATATATTTTTATGTTTTATATATATTTTATATATTTTATATATATATATAAGATGTACCCTGGAAAACATGATTTGTTTGCCACTGTGTTAACATCAGAGGCCAGAAGTACTGTGCAAACTTTCAGCTCTGTTATAAGCAGTGTTAATGGGAAGTCTTTTGCTAGTTACTCTAACAGCAGTCACACTTCTCACAGTGATCTTTCTCACAGGATGTTGCAGTCTTAACGGTGATCCACCCAGCTAGAAAGGTAGCTCTGTATGAGGCCACATATGGACTGGCTGTTAGAAGAGTCTCTCAATGAGGTCAGTGAGGCCTGGCAAGGAAACTGAGAGCCCACGTGAACTTGACAGTGAGTTAGTGGCAGAGACTCTTTTCTGTCTGCTTCCCTGGGAAGAACATCAGGTGGGGAGTACAGAAGAGACATCTGCCTCTTGGAGCAGGGCAGTGTCCCACCTGATCTCAGTGATGGAGCAGGTGAAGGCCTGATGTGATACCCCAGCGTCATGTCTTCCCCGCCCTGTGACATTAGCTGCTGCTTTGTGTGGTTGGATGCCTTGCTTGCACAGGGTAAGGCACTGGATGTGCTGGATCTGTAATCAGAGCAAAGAAAAGCTTCACAAGGGGTGTCTAGGGCTCCAGCCAAATAAAGTGAGGGAGATGGGGGTGATTGCCCAGGGAAATTAAAGAAAATCACTTCGCTTTCCACAGCCGGTAGACTAAAGGCCCCTCACTAATCACCCACTGTGAGGTTCATTATCTGGTCCATCCTGCTGAAGGGCAGAACCAGCCTGTCAGATCAATAAATCTCTAGGCAGTAGAGAGACCTTTGGTAGTAGCCCTGAAAGGCAGGAATGGACTGGGAGAACTGGCCAGCTCAAACTGATTCTGAAATTGGATTTGGTTCTGAAGTATAGGAAATGAAAATGGAAAGGCAGCAGGGGCAGGGAGTGGTGGGAGAAAACTTCTGTGTGTACAGAGTGGCAGTTTAGAGGAGACCTTGGAGAAGGCAGATCATTTCTCTGTAGCCTAAGAGGTTTGTGACTACCTTTTGGATCATTGTTTCCAACCCATCATATTGGGTGATTGTGCCCTGGAGAGAGTTTATTATCCTGAATAAAGTACAGCAACCAATGGAAGAAAGGATACTCACTCACAGGGTCTGGGGTTTTGTTACAGGTTGCTGTTTGTTCTAGTTTCTGTGCTATTGGCTGTTTTGTTCTGTTTTCAGCCTCTTAAAGCTGAAGTGTTCTGAGAAAGAATCAATCCTTGCCTCTAAAGGAAGCTCTCAGGACCTGATTTGGTGTAAGCATTTTCTTGATTCTGAGTGTCCTTAATGCCATCAGACAAGGGAAAGGTGCCCTGGTTGAATGTTCCCCAGATTTCTCTTCTATGCAGAAGTGCAAAAGTGCCTCCTGTGCCAAGCTGGAGGTTGTAAAAATGCCAAAATCGTATTTGCCCTTGAAGATTTAACACTACAGGAATGAAGACCACTGCTTTCTTGTTAGACCTTTTCCCTTGTCTACTGGAGCTGACATATTTAGAGTGCTTGTAGCAGCCCCTCCTGACCTTTAACACCCCCTGAGGACATACGAGCCTTTCTATTCTCCTTGAACCCACCACCTTGTGAAATATTGTCTCAGAAATCTATGAACAGTTGGCTGATGACCTGTATATGAACGAAGCATCATAACCTTTCCTTTTTTTTTATTTTTAAAAATATTTTTATTAGAAAGTCAGAAAAACAGAGAGGAAGCTCTGTCCATTGATTCACTCCCCATGCAGCTGGAGTGGCCAGAGTTGCACCAACACGAAGCCAAGAGCCCAAAGCCTCTTCCGGGTCTGTCATGTGGGTACAGGGCCCCAAGGCTTTGGGCCATCCTCAGTTACTTTCCCTAGCCACATGAAGGGAGCTGGATGGGAAGCAGGGCTGCCAAAATAATTACAACCAGCACCCATATGGGATCCCAGCATGTGCAAGGCGAGGACTTTAGCCACTAGGATTCTGCTCTGGGCCCACATCATGTCCTTTCCTACTTTCATCTTTGCCTCAGTGGAATGAGAAAGGCCAAAACGGGGGTCTGCCTTTGGCCTAACAGTTGAGATGGAATGCTCACATTCCATGGTGAGTGCCTGGGTTTAATTCCCAGCTGTGCTCCCGATTCCCAGTAAGTCTAAAGTTTCAGAGGCAGTGGGTAATGCCCAAGTGGTTAGGTTCTTGCCATTCATGTGGCAGACCTGAATTGAGTTCCTGGCTCCCAGCTTTGGTTCAGTCTTGGCTGTTGTGGGCATTTGGGAATTTAACCAGCAGATGGGAGCTGCTGCGCTTGCTGTCCCCCATCTCCCACTCCCACCCTGTCTTGCTGTCTCTTTCTGCCTCTTGAATAGTAAAATGAATTTAAAAAAAGAAAAAGCAAAGGCAAAAGCAGAACCCTGGTTAGAAGTCTTTTATAAAAACAAGAAGATCTCGTACATTCCTGAGCTTGGCAAATGACTGAGTTTTTAAGTACACACTCTGAAAAACCCTTTTGTGACTAGTGCCCAGCTGAAAATTATTGTGAACATTATTGATTACTACCTGGAGTCTATTTGATTTGTCAGAAAGACGTGTGGAGCTGTCTACAGGTAGGAGAAAGGCGCACAGTAAGAGACATCTTTCAAGATGTATTTATGTGTTTGAACGAATTACAGGGACATAGAAAGATAACTTCAAACAACTGATTGCCTCCCCAAATGATCACTGACTGGGGCCTTGCCAGGCTGAGGCCACCTGGGTGCAGAAGCCTTTGCACTTGGGCCAGCTTCTCCTGCTTTCAAAGGTACTGTAGCAGGGAACTGGATCAAAAGATGAAGGAACCACGGCCTGGTGCAATGACTTAACCAATTAATCCTCCCTCTTCAAGTGCCAGGATCCCATATGGGAGCTAGTTGTAATCCCGGCAGCCCCGCTTCCCATCCAGCTCCCTGCTTGTGGCCTGGGAACATAACTGAGGATGGCCCAAAGCCTTGGGGCCCTGCACCCACATGGGAGACCCAGAAAAAGCTCCTGGCTGCTGGCTTTGGATTAGCTCAGCTCCAGCTGTTGCCACCGCTTAGGGAGTGAGTCAGTGGACAGAAGATCTTCCTCTGTCTCTCTTCCTCTCTGTATATCTTCCTTTCCAATAAAAATAAATAAATCTTAAAAAGAGAGAAGGCGGGCACAAAGATCACATAGTATTTGAAATTTTCAGAATAGGGAAATCTATAGAGATAAAGTCATTAAGGAGACTCCATATACATTACTGTATATAGAATTATGAGCCATTTTAATTTTAACAGTTCTGGTGTTATATTGTGATACCATTACTAGTTTGTTAGTGTTTTTTTGTTTGTTTTGGTTTTGGCTTTTAAGATGTGTTTATTTTTTTGGGGCCCGGCGTGGTGGCGCAAGTGGTTAAAGGTCCTTGCCTTGCACGCCCGGGATCCCATATGGGCACCAGTTCTAATCCCAGCAGCCCCGCTTCCCTTCCAGCTCCCTGCCTGTGGCCTGGGAAAGCAGTCGAGGACGGCCCAAAGCTTTGGGAACCTGCACCCGCGTGGGAGACCCGGAAGAGGCTCCTGGCTTCGGTTTGGCATAGTATTGACCCGTTGCGCTCACTTGGGGAGTGAATCATCGGACGGAAGATCTTCCTCTCTGTCTCTCCTCTCTGTATATCCGCCTTTCCAATGAAAAAATAATAAAAATAAATCTTTAAAAAAAAAAAGATGTGTTTATTTTTATTGCAAAGTCAGATATACAGAGAGGAGAGATAGAGAAAGATCTTCCGTCCAATGATTCACTCCCCAAGTGACTGCAACGGCCAGAGCTGTGCTGATCTGAAATCAGAAGCCAAGGAGCTTCATCTGGGTATCCCACATGGGTGCAGGGTACCAAGGGTTTGGGTCATCCTTGACTGCTTTCCCAGGGTACAGGCAGGGAACTGGATGGGAAGTAGGACCGCCAGGATTAGAACTGGCACCCATATAGGATCCTGATGCATGCAAGGCGAGAACTTTAGTCTCTAGGCTATTGCATTGGGCCCAGTTGGCTTTATTAAAATATATTTTAGCTATTTTTTGAAAGGCAGAGAGATAGATATATAAAATTTTATTTCTCAAATAGCCACAATAGCTAGGACTAGACTTAGACCCCAGAAATTCATCCTGGTCTCCCACATTTGTGTCAGGGACCCAAGTACTTTAGATGATCTCTCACTGCTTCTCCAGATACCCAGACGTATTAACTGAGAGCTGAATCTGATGCAGAGCAGCCAGGACTCAAAGCAGTTCCCTATATGGGATCCCAGCGTTGCAAGCACAGCACTGGTCCCTGGCTTTGTTTTCTGTGTATTTTTGTTTTGTTTTGAGTTTTGTTTTGTTTTGAGAGATAAAGAGTTCCACTCTACCAGCTTGCTTCTCAAGTATCTAGAAGAGGTGCCAGGCCAAAACCAGATCTCACCCATGAGTGGCAGGGACTCAGGCTCTTGAGCCTTCATCTGCTGCCTCCTAAAGTCTGCATCAGCAGTAGGTTGGAATTGGGAACAGAACTGGACCTCAAATTCAGGCTAACTGAAAAAGGATTGATCAGTATAACTGAGTTAAAATCTGCCATTTTGGGACAGCCATTAAGCTGCCTCCCATGACACTGGCATCCCAGATAAGTGCCGGTTGATCCCAGCTGCTCCATTTCTAGTCTAGCTCCCTGATAATATGCCTGGGAAAACAGCAGAACATGGCTCAAGTCCTCAGGTCCCTATACCAACATGGAAGCTGAGGATACAGCACCTGGCTCCTGGCTTCCGCCTGGCCAACCCCTGGCTGCTGTTGTCATTTGGGAAGCGAAGCAGCAGATGGAAGACCTCTCTGTGTATCTTTCCCTCTTTCTCTGTAACTAATTTTGAAACAAAAACTTACTATCATTCTTTCTTTTTTTTTTAAGATTTGTTTACTTTTTATTGCAAAATTAGATATACAGAGAGGAGGAGAGACAGAGGAAGATCTTCCATCCGATGAGTAACACCCTAAGTGATCACAACAACCGATACTGTGCCGATCTGAAGCCAGAAGCCAGGAGCCTCCTCCAGGTCTCCCACGTGGGTGCAGGGCCCCAAGGCTTTGGGCCATCCTCAACTGCTTTCCAAGGTCACAAGAAGGAACTAGATGGGAAGCAGGGCTGCTGGGATTAGAACCAGTGCCCATATAGAATCCTGGTGCGTATAAGACGAGGACTTTAGCCATTAGGCCAACGCGCCAGGCCCCCATCTTGCTTTCTTTTCTGTTTTTCATCTGTTCTATATTCCTTTTTTTAGTTTTTTTCTGCCATCATTTGATTTTCTGAGTACTTTTTTTAATTCCATTTTATGTCTTTGTTGACTCTGTTTAGCTCTTCTTTTTCATTTTGTTATTCAGTGGTTGCTGTTGGGCTTATAACAACTCATATTTCTTTAAATTCCAAAGTGGACGTTTCAAATCATGCTATATGACTCGATGTTACATGTAATAACCTTGGGCTAGAATGTCTCCTTTTGTGCTCTGCTGTCTTTGTCATCATACATTCTATTCTTCTAGTATTCTTTTAAATATAATACATGGTTCTTATTTTCTTATAAGAGTTTTACCTGTTTTCCTCATTTTGAACTATACATAAGACTAATTTCTGTTTATTTTGTATTTACCATTTCTAGTGGTTTTCATTCCTATTTATAGATTCAGGTGATGTAATTTTCCTTCTGTCAGAAAACTTTTTTTAATATCCTGTCGTGCAGGACTGTTAGCACATTCTCTCAGGCTGTCTCTTCATTCCACCTGCATTTCTCAAGAATGTTTTTTGCTGCATATAGAATTCTAAACAGAATTTTTTTTTCCTCTCGGCACAGACGTCGTTCCTTTGTCTTCTGGTTTGTGTAGTTTCTGACAAGAAGTGTTAATTCCTTGTTCCTCTGTATATAATGAGCTTTTTTCCCCCTCTCTATTTTGAATAATCTCCTAACACTTGTTTTCAGCAATTTTTTTGTTAGAATGTGCCTTATATATCTATCATTTTTCTCTTAGTTATGTTACCTGACTTCCTTAAATACCTAAACATGTCTGTGATCGCTTTTTTTTTTAAAAAAAGAAAAGGTCTGTTTTATATGTTTGAAAGGCAGAGTTATTTAGAGACAGACACAGAGAGATTTTCCATCAGCTGGTTAGCACCCCAAGTTACTGCAGTGGCCAGAGCTAGGCCAGTACAAGGCCAGGAGCTTCTTCCTGGTCTCCCACATGGGCTCAGGGGCCCATGCACTTGAACCACTTCCTATTGCTTTCCCAGAGCATTAGCAGAAAACTGAATCAGAAGTAGAACAGCCAGGAACCTGGGGTGCAGGTGCCACAGGCTTCAGGCTTTACCTGCTGTGCCACTGCACCAGCCCCTACATTAGCTCTTTCAGTATCAAGGCTAATTCTGTCATAAGTTAGGGATCAATTTCTGTTGACTGATAATTCTCTTGGTTATAGATCACATTTTTCTGTTTCTTAACATGTTTAGGTGTTGTTTTTTTGTTTTTTTGTTTTTTTTTTTTTTAGTTGGAGACTGGGCATTGTGACTGTTACATGGTTGGGTGCTTGGTTTTATATAAGAAATATTTGGAAGATATTTAGGAAGGCAGGTGAATTCTTTCTAGAGCAGCATGATCAGTTTGAAACTTCTTACAAGTCTTCATTTTGTTATTCAGTGGTCGCTTAGAGTAGCTTTCTCTAAGGTGTGACCATTCTGTTGTCCCTTTTGAATGCTCAGGAGTTCAGCAAGTACTCTTCATTTGCTAATCAAGATTCAGACATCTGTGAATGTTGGGTGAACTCTAAGAGTTGCTCAGCTTGCAGATTTTGCATCAATTTTTTTGTCTACTTTGGTTGAATCAAACCTTATGTTACAAGATCCTCAGAGTAACTGGGACATTATCCAAGCTTCTGAATGTCCCTTTCCTGTTTCCTTTCTCTTTGGTGATTGCCTGACAAATTTCAGCTCACCCTGGGTCCCCAAATCTAGTTGATTTTGTTAGCCCAAAACACTTCATGCTCCCGGTGTTTGCCTTCTCTCAGGAGCCTTTCCTACACTACCTGTTATCCAACGCTTGAAAAGAAGCATTTCCTTCAGTTCCTAGTTACTCTATCGTGACTGCAAATGAAATCCTGCACTACGTAAAACATTAAACTATGCCTTGAGTTACCCACCAAATTTAAAAATGTTTGTATGCTTTTTCAGAGAACGTTCCCTTCCTTGCATTAACTATTTATATATGTCTTTCTACTTCATTTCTCTTTCTCCCTTTTTCTTTTTTTTTTTTAAGATTCATTCATTCGTTCATTCATTCATTATATTGTAAAGGCAGATATAGAGAGAAAGATCTTCTCTCCACTGGGTTCAGTCCCTAAGTGGCTGCAACAACTAGAACTGAGGTGGGTGATCCAAAGCGAGGAGACAGAACCTCTTCCAGGTCTCCCACGCAAGTGCAGGGTCCCAAGGCTTTGTGTTGTCCTCAGCTGCTTTCGCAGGCCACAAGCAGGAAGTTATATGGGATCCTGGCATGCAAGGCGAGGACTTTAGCCACTAGGCTAATGCACCAGCCCTCCCACCTCTCCGCCTTTTTTCCAGTTACAGCTGAGGAAATTCTTAAATAGACATATGAGGACCTGGCACGATAGCATAGCAGCTAAAGTCCTCACCTTGAATGTGCCAGGATCCGATATGGGTGCCAGTTCTAATACCGGCAATTCCACTTCCCATCCAGTTCTCTGCTTGTGGCCTGGGAAAGCAGTGGAGGATGGCCTGGGGCTTTGGGACCCTGCACCTGCATGAGAGACCAGGAAGAAATCCTGGCTGCTAGCTTCAGAATGGCTCGGCTTCAGCCGTTGTGGCTACTTGGGGAGTGAACCAAGGGATGAAAGACCTTCCTCTGTCTGTCCTTCTCTCTGTATGTCTACCTTTCCAATAAAAGAAAATCAAATAAATCTTTTTTTAAAAGGACATATAAAAACTTCATTTTCATATAGATAGCAAACATTTCATATCATTTTTAAAAGCTAATTCACTCACAGCTATCTCTTCCCTATTTTTTCATTCTGATTTTTTTTAAGATTTATTTATTTTTATTACAAAGTCAGATATACAGAGAGGACGAGAAATAGAGAAGATCTTCTGTCCGATGATTCACTTCCCAAGTGAGCATAACGGCCAGTGCTGCGCCGATCCAAAGCCAGGAGCCAGGAACTTCCTTCCGGGTCTACCAAACAGGTGCAGGGTCACATAGCATTGGGTGGTCCTCGACTGCTTTCCCAGGACACAAGTAGGGAGCTGGATGGGAAGTGGAGCTGCCGAGATTAGAACCAGTGCCCATATGGGATCCTGGTGCGTTCAAGGCGAGGACTTTAGCCACTAGGCAACGCCGCCAGGCCCTCCATTCTATTCTTATGTCCAGATGCCAGACCTAACATTGATCAATGATGAAGGCTTAAACGACAGTTAAAAAATAAAGTCTTGGGGCCCGGCGCGGTGGCGCAAGTGGTTAAGTCCTCGCCTTGCACGCCCGGGATCCCATATGGGCGCCGGTTCTAATCCCGGCAGCCCCGCTTCCCTTCCAGCTCCCTGCCTGTGGCCTGGGAAAGCAGTCGAGGACAGCCCAAAGCTTTGGGAACCTGCACCCACGTGGGAGACCCGGAAGAGGCTCCTGGCTTCGGATCGGCATAGTATCGGCCCGTTGCGCTCACTTGGGGAGTGAATCATCGGACGGAAGATCTTCCTCTCTGTCTCTCTTCTCTGTATATCCGCCTTTCCAATAAAAAAATAATAAAAAAATAAATCTTTAAAAAATAAAGTCTTGGCTTTCAGATTTTTTTTGGTCCTCTTAACTGCTTGGTCACTACACTTCTTCTAGGTCATGTCACATGGACATCGATCACACTTTGTCCCACGGGAAGGGTAAGCAGATAGCATCCAAGGGAGCCGGTAGTTCCATCTGGATAGTAGTTATCCTTGGAGCTCATGAGTCTCTCTCCTCCATGTCTTCCTAGATGAGAATCTTTCGGATGCTGTATGTAAACAGGTACTAAAAATAGCTTAGCGAGATTTTGAACCTGGCTGCTGAAAGATCACTGTGTGTGTCTAACCTAGATTGTTTTAGACAGTTACCTAATGAGTATACTACATAGTTGAGCTGAATGCAGGAGGTTGAAATTTGGTGCTAAATTGAACACCTTTCTGAAAGGACATTTCAGAATGGAGCAAGCCTGATTTCTGAGAAGCAGAAGCTGTAGTTGTGGGTGTCTTAGGGGTAAAAGTGACATTCCTTCTGACTTCCACGTTTTCACATCCCTTACATAGGACTCGCTTTCTTGGTGTCAGGGCTGAGCCTGAACAGTCTGCCCTTCAGGGGACTAGCCCTGATTGGAGCCTGAGCTGTCAAGGCCTGTCCAAGCTAATGGTCCTTCTTGCAACTGCTGTCTGGGGACCCTTCTAGGCTGCTAGGGAAATTTGCACATGGAATTAACCAGCATAGTAATGTAAAAATGGAGGAAGTGAGGTGGGTTCTTCAACACAGTAGGTTAAGCTGTCTCAAGCCCTGCCAGATTCCCTGCCCCTGGGGCTCACGAACCTACGACTCACCAATAGGCGGGCCGCAGGATCTGGGCTAGGTGATCCAAGTCCTATTGGACGCCTGGATCCTGGGACTCATGAATCTAGCATCCATTGACCCCAGGCTGGCATGGCTCCCCTCACCTCCACATCCACTATTGTTTTGTGCAGCCTCAGTCTGGTCTGCTCCCAGTCCCAGCTCCTGCTGGTGAGTACTGCAGACTGCCCCAGCCCAGCATGATCCCTGTTCTGGCCCTAATGTGAACTGCCTGGTGTTTCGGCCTCGACTGGCTTCCTAGACCACAAGCAGGGAGCTGGACGAGAAGCGTAGCTGCCGGGATCAGAACCGGCGCCCACATGGGATCCCGGTGCATTCAAGGCAAGGACCTTAGCTGCTAGGCCACGCCGCCAGGCCTGATCCATCTACTTTTTTTTTTTAAGATTTATTTTATTTTTATTGGAAAGGCGGATATACAGAGAGGAGAGACAGAGAGGAAGATCTTCCGTCCGATGATTCACTCCCCAAGTGAGCGCAACGGTCGATGCTATGCCGATCCAAAGCCAGGAGCCTCTTCTGGGTCTCCCGCGCGGGTACAGGGTCCCAAAGCTTTGGGCCATCCTTGACTGCTTTCCCAGGCCACAAGCAGGGAGCTGGATGGGAAGAGGGGCCGCCAGGATTAGAACCGGCGCCCATATGGGATCCCAGGTGTGCAAGGCGAGGACCTTAACCACTTGCGCCACCGCGCCGGGCCCGCGATCCATCTACTTTTAAGAAAAGATCAAAACTTTTATTCTTATGTCATTTTAGGAAAATGAATTCCAGTTCCATTTTATAGAGAGAAGGACTGGGGCTCAAAGAGATGACAAAAAGAAGAAATGGGGCTCCTAATTCAATGATCTGTCAGGCCCTTCCCAAGACCCTTCTTCTAAGGGCCGCAGGTGAATATGAAAGCATTGTGTAGAGAGCCCGCGACTTTAGGTGCTCTTCTGGCTTTGAGGCTACATTGAGCTCAGGTAGGCATGGTCCCAAGAAATCCACAAGCTCAAAAGCCTGTGAAGGCAGTTGGCCTTGTGCTGGGGGAACAAACCTGCTGCACTGGAAAGGGGTCTCTCTGTAGTGCGGGGCAGTAGGAGTTCCAGTAAATCAAATCCTGAAGCTGCAAATGGTGGTAAAGGTTCAAATAGGCTATGTTCCTAGTGTCTGAAGCTGCAGAGATCAAAGTCAATTTCCAAACCAGGCAAGCACCTGTAGTACTCTGAAGTCCAAAATGGTCTTGAGCCCAGACCTAAGCTTAGAATGTTTGCTTCCTGTGGGAATTGGGGGGAAAAAAGCGATGAGGGAAGGAGACAGCTGAGGTTCAATAAACTGTTTAGCAACTTTACCTTGGGCACAAGAAGAAAGCAAATGAACCTGTAAAAAAAAAAAGGCAGAAATGGCAATGGGCAATTTCTGGACAAGAGAGGTGAGCTGATGCACTCTCTTCCATTTTGTTTGTTTTATTGTTTAAAGATTTATTTACTTTTATTAGAAAGGCAGACTTACAGAGAGAGGCGATACAGAGCAAAGGATCTTTCTCTGCAGGTTCACTCCCCACACAGCCACAAAGGCCAGAGCTGAGTTGATTTAAAGCCAGCAGCCAGGAGCTTCTTCTGGATCTCCCACTTAGATACAGGGTCCCAAGGCTTTGGACCATCTTTTACTGCTTTCCCAGACCACAAGCCGGGAGCTGGATGGGAAATGGAGCAGCCAGGACACGAACTAGCACATATAGGATCAGGCAGCTGCTAGGTGATGGTTTAGCCATTAAGGCTATTGCGCCAGACCCTGAGAATATCATGCATTCTCTTAAAGGACATCAGCTAGCCCAGGCCCCTGGTTTCTTTCCAAGGGGACGTCTCTGCTTTCATCACTCTTCAGCAAATGAAATTAGGCTGTTCTGGCAAAAGCAGACTTTACTGGGTAAGGAAAAAGCCCTGTTCTCAGCAAGACTTTAGACTTTCTACTCTCCTGTGAAGGACAAAAAGCCCAGGTGATTGAAGCTGACTTTCCTGAAGCCTGAGCCATTCAGGATATGGCTTAGTGGGACTGGCATTGTGGCACAGTAGGTAAAGCTGCCACCTATGATGCCAGTATTCCATGTGGGGGCCAGTTCATGTCCCTGCTACTCCACTTTCTATCCAACTCTCTGTTAATGGCTTAAGATAGCACCAGAAGATGGCCCAAATGTTGGGACCCCTGCCAGATAAAGCTCCTGGCTTTGGCCTGGCTCAGCCCTTGGGAGTGAAATAGTGGATAGAAGAACTCTCTCTGTAATTCTTTCAAGTAAATAAATTAACATTTTAAAAAGAAAAAGAGGGTATAGCAATTTTTTAGCTACCATGCCTTTTTCTTAGACATTGACTTTAGCCATAATCACAGCCCACATGCATGAGAAGACTGGATGACTTTGTGGGTGACTGCTGTTGCTGGGTACCAGTCTTCCTATCTACACTGCTAACGAATGGGACCAGAAACACAGACAACAGCTTATGTATGTCTTTGGACCACAGCTAGGATCATCTTGAGGAGCTGGGTGTCTAGAGGGAAGTCTGCTCTGTGTGAATTTGAGCTGACAAGGGGACCAGACAGGCACTTGGCCAACCTTGGGGAGTCTGTCCTCCAGCCCTCTGAGCTGCACTGATTCTGGCTTATCCCCTTCACCCCTGCCAGAGTGCAGTGTCCCCCATCACTCCATCAATGCCCCCACGCTCCCTTCTGAGCAGAGAGCTTGCCACAATGTCAGACTTTCCTACAGGTGAGATCAGCTTCACTCAGATTATTGGGTCATTATTCCCTCTCTCCTCTCTTTCCAGCTCACTTCTAACGTGGTGGAGTGCTTGTCTTCCAGCTGTCCTTGACCTTGATTCCTGGTCTTACAAGCTGAAGTCACAACTGCCTGGCTGTGATAGTCCCTTTCTTTTCTAACCACAGAGAACCAGTAGAAGTCTATCCTGCCTTCAGATCAGCTCATCTCTGGCTGTTGTGGCCACTTGGGGAGTGAATCCATGGATGGAAAACCTTTCTCTGTCTCTCCTCCTCTGTGTATATGTGACTATCCAATAAAAATACTAAATAAATTTTTTAAAATTATTTATCTATTTGAAAGTCAGAGGGGGAGAAACGGACAGATCTTCCATGTACTAGTTCACTCCCCAATGGCCACAGTGGCTAAAGCTGGGCCAGATGGAAGCCAGGAACCAGGAGCTTCTTACGGTTTTCCCACATGGGTGCAGAGGCCTAAGCACTTGGTCCATCTTCCTCTGCTTTCCTAGGTGCATTAGCAGGGAGCTGATAAGAAGTAGAGCAGCTGGGTCTCGAACAGGCATTCACATGGGATGACAGCAGCACAGGCAGCAGCTTAACTAAGCTCCTGTAGCTTAATCTTTAAAGTACTCACTACAGCTCAAGACTAGGATTCCTGAAACTTCAATCCAGACACTGACTCAGAAAACTGACTTGACAATGAGAGATGAAAACAAGTGCAGATGGTGCTGTAGAACATCCCAGAACTGAAGAAAGGGAGAAGGAAGGAGACATTAGCAAAGTCACCCTCAGCAGCTGTGACAGCCTGGCCCCTGGCCAGGGCAGAGAGCACACTGATGGCACCAGGGACACTGGAAAGCTCAGACACTCCTCCTCTGTCTCCTCTCCCATGTTAGCAGTGTCTTCAAGTGTGGTAGCCAGCAGGTGGGGCTGGGCAGGAAAAGTGAGGAATGGAATTAGATTAGGATTATAAAATGGCCCCCGAAGCCTAGGAATGGCTCCCTGTGGCAGGCCTTTTTCTGGGTGATAAGTAGTGAGTCAGGCCCCTTGAGGATGTTGCTGCAGACTGAATCCAACTTGACAGCAGAGTGGGGCCAGATGGCCTGGGATTTGCATGTCCTAATCCTCACCTGGTTCTTGACCTCTCAGGTGCTGGAGGTGGTGCGAGCCAACTATGACACACTCACGCTGAAACTGCAGGATGGCCTGGACCAGTATGAGCGCTATTCAGAGCAGCACAAAGAAGCTGCCTTCTTCAAAGAGCTGGTGAGTGTCCCTCCCGTGTGTGCCTGTGTCTCTCAGGGTCCCCTTCAGAGCCACTGTGTTCTGCCATGCAGGTGGGCAGCCCACGGAACAGCTGTGGTGTGTCAGAAGCTGATAAAACAGTTAAGGCGTCTTCTGGGCTTGCAACTTGCCTGCCAAAGCAGTCCAGAGTGAGACAGTGAGTGAGAGCCTAGGATAGTCCCGAGACAGCCTGGCCCACTGCTCTGTTGCAACCATGGAGACAGCCTCACACAGCTCCAGCTACGTCTGGGGCTCAATGTGTGTTCCCCGTGGCCACCCTGGCTCATTACTCCTTGTCGCATCCTCAGAGTCACTAATGAGAGTAATTGAGTCTTTGTTCCTTATGTAATCACTTCTTCCCCATTTCCTAACTGGTCCCTGCTCTGAATGCCCACCCATCAAATTCTCTAGTCTTCACTCCCCGCCCCCACTCCCATTCCCACTCAGACAGCTTCCTAGAATCCCCACTCTCCCACCTCCCAGTCAGCAGCTTCACAAATCTGGTCTGTCCCTGCCGGGGATCCCTTTTCTACCCTCTGCTCAGCTCCCGGGAGCCCTGCCACCCTGCCTGGTTTGCACAAATGTCCTGGTCACTGACTGAGATCAGGACACAGGCCTTGGTTTTCCCTTCCCAGATCCCCCAGCCTCTACTGGGAAAGAACTTGCATCCGCCCACTTTTTACTTCTCTATGCCAAAATGAGGGAGACGGTGTTGGATTTTAGATTATGTCTTGTGCTAACCACAGTCTACCTGGGACCTTGACATGACATTTCTCAAAGTTTCAGGGGAAAAAGACAGGCTTGGAGTGAATAAGTTTGGAGCAAGAAAAACACTACTGTGAGGAGGACATAGCATAGTGCAGCATTTTAATGGGATAATAGCTCTTTTTCTTTTTTTTTATATTTATAAAGATATTTATCTTCAAAGTTGAAGTGAAAGATAGATTTTCTATCCTCTGGTTTCACTCCTGGTCTATAAAACCCAGCACTGGGCCAGGCCAAAGCCAAGAGTGAGGAGCCTCTTCTAGATCTTTCACGTGGATGTCAGGGGCTCATCTGCTGCTGCTTTTTCCCAGGGAGCTGGAACATAAATGGAATAGCAGTAACATGAACTGGCACCTGTATGGGATGCTGGCATTGCATGCAACAGCTTTACATGCTATGCACAATGCAGGCGCCAGTTGACAAGTCTTGACAATGATGAAAGGTGGGGGGAGTGTTACAAAGGGAACAGTTAACCAAGAAAATAGGTATTGGGAGATGAGGAAGATTGTGAAGGAGGCAATCAAAGATGCTATGCCTCAACTCTGTGGCACTTAGCTTTGCCTTACCAAGTTCTACTTAACATTTGTTCCTTAGACTCAGGGAGCATAAAGATTCTGGTCCAGTTTGGAGCTAATGAACTTGACTTCCCTGCTGTTTCCCACACTGCCCTTTCTTCTGTTTCCTACCTGATGACTTCATTAAGGCTCCTGCAGCTGAGCGAAAGCCCCTAGGACTTTGGAATCCTGGCCAGACACACATGCTTGTCCTTTTCCCAGCCCTGTGTCTCTTACATTGTTCCCTTGGCTGGAGCACCTTGGAGAATCTGCTGGTTCCTCCTGGAACTCCCTTAGCGTTAGGGAGTTTAGCTCTCTGATTCCTCCTGGACAGGTCACTCTTCTTCCCCCACTGCCAACACAGGCAATACTTTTGCAAGGTTCTGGGTGTGTGAATAGGAAGAGTACAAACAGAGTGGCAAGATACAGCAAGGCTGCACATAGGACTTGCCTCTCAAGTGAGCAGGCCTACTTGGTATGGAAAGGACACTAAACCAGGAATGAAGAAATCTTGATGCTGGGCCAAGGATTTGGCACAGCAATTAAGTCCCCACTTGGGACACCCTGGTTTGAGTCCTGGCCCGCTTGGGATATGCCTGGTTCCTCTGTTTCCAATCCAGAATTCTTCTAACGTGCACCATGAGAGGCAGCTCTGATGGCTCAGGTGTGTGGGTTTCTGCCACCCATGTGGGAGACCTGGATAGAGCTTCATGCCCTATAGGTACCACTTCATGCTCCTGATGTGGGCTACACTGGTTATTGCAGGCATTTGGGAAATAAATCAGCAGATAAAAGATATCTCTCTTTCTCTCTCCACCATTCAAATACATTGAAAATAAATCCAGGCCAGCTCTGTGGCACAGTTTGTAAGGCCTCTGCCTATAGTGCCAGCATCCCATTTTTGCACCAATTAGAGTCCTGGCTGTTCCACTTCCAATCCAACTCCCTGGTAATGTGCCTGATATCATAGGAGAGGATGACCCAAGTACTTTGGCTTCCTTCACCTATGTGGGAAACCTGAAGAAGCTCCTGGTTCCTGGCTTTGGACTGACCCAGCTCTGGCTGTTGTCGCCATCTGGGAACTAAACCACTGGATGGGAGATCTCTCTTACTCACGCTCTAGAATTCTAACTTGCAAATAAATCAGTCTTTAAAAAAATGAAAAAGAAAATAGGGCTGGTGTAATGGTTCAGTTAACTAATCTTCCCCCTGCAAGCACCACCATCCCATATAGACACCAGTTCATGTCCCGGTTGCTCCCCTTCCTGATCCAGCTTCCTGCTTGTGGCTTTGGAAATCAGTGGAGGATGGCACAAGTCCTTGGGACCCTTCACCCATATGGGAGACCTGGAAGGAACTCATGGCTCGTGGCTTAGGATCAACTCGGCTCTGGTTGTTGCGGCCACTTGGGGAATGAACCAGAAGATGGAAGATCTTTCTTTTTGTATCTCCTTCTCTCTGTAAATCTGCCTTTTCAGTAAAAATAATTTTTTTTTGAAAAATTATCTTTAGAAAGAAAGAAAATTTAAAAATTAAAAAAAATAAATAAATAAAGGAGAAAACATGTATGGGAAAGAAAGTGGCTAAAGTGCTGCTGCTAAGCTAGGACTCCTCGTGCTCGAAGGTCTCCTTCGCCTTGCCCCTGCCATCTGCACCAGACGACGGCTGCACCTCTCAGTGCTCCTTCCAGGCTGGAAGAGCAGAGAAATTCAAACAAGAGTGAGAAGGTTAGCTTCTTAGCCTCTATCAGAAGAGTGAGATGGAGACAGAGTCAAGGCCAGCCCCCCACCCCAAGAGCTCAGTTGACTTTTCTCGGATCCACTGAACATCCTCTCCTGCAGCTCCTCTTTGCTGCCCACTCTCATGGAGCCATTTGCTTATCTGCAAGTATATATAGCTGGAATGCCCCAAGAGAGCATCTGTCGGCTCACCTTCTGGGCCCTGTTTTCCCATTGCTGCCTTCTACCATTTGTAACTGACTCTCTTCCTTTCCCAGGTTCGATCCATTAGCACCAACGTCCGGAGAAACCTGGCCTTCCACACACTCAGCCAGGAAGTCCTGCTCAAGGAATTCTCCACTATCTCCTGAGACCTCACCAACCTGAGCAGCCGCTGATTGCCCTTCCTCATGAGGCCCCCTCCCCTGGGGTTGAGGGGAGCAAAGGGAGAAGGGGGCTGCCTCCACGGCTGGAGAGAAACACGGGTGCCAGGTCCTCTTGGTGAAAGCCACACTACAGTGGAGCTTGGACCTCGGGGGCCAGGAGGAACAAGCCTGGGCATATCTTACTAGGGGAGGAATGGGTGGGCAAGGGAGAGGCCTCCAAGAATGCAGGGACTTCCAGGAAGAGCTTCCTGGACACCCTCTCACATCTCCAGTTGGGATTCAAGTTGTGGCTGCTTACTGATTTTCTGGAGCTGGGCAGGCCTCAGGGTGATGCCAGCACTCTAAGGGTTACTTGCTTTCCTCAACTTCTGAGAGCAGATTGACTGAGGTACAGCTGGAGCCCACAGTCTGTGATCTGGGCCCTAGGCTGAGCTGGGTTTGAAATCTGTGTCCTCCTGCCCTACTGTGTGCAGTCATTAGGATCCTTAGCTCAGGCCTAGGGTAGAGTAGGAATGGGACACCTTTTCTCTTCTGAATTCAGATTTGACTCCTGGGAAACTGGAGGTTTCAGCTATCCAGCCACCGCCTTCTGAGTTTTAGTTTTGGCACGGGCAGTTAGCTTCCCCCTGCCTTCAGTCCGTTGACTCATCAGCACAATAGGCTCACAACCTTGGCGCCTCGTTTTTAAGCTGGTTTAGACTGTCTTTAGAGTGTGTGTGAAATAAACATTGACAGGTTTTCTGGAGCCCTCAAGGTGCCTACTTGGCTAGTTCCCTTCACCACAGCCCCTCCTCCTCCCCTGCCACCCCCTCCACTGGGAGCTGCTGCCTCTGCTGCTCTCCCCTCCACCCCTCCACCCCCTCTCCCTGCTGTTGTTTACATCCAGCCTGCCTGAGAATTTCCTCTGGGGAGGAGTCTGTTCCTGCTGTGGTCTGGTGCCTGGGAGGAACAGCACCTGCTGGAGGCAGGGTGCCCTCTGAAAAAACCCCAGTGAGCATCCTACGGGGGGACCCTCATCCTGTGTACCCAGAGCTGAGAGGAGCCACGAGCAGGTCCGACCTCCCATAAGTTGGCCTGTTGTTCCTCCTCCCTTGGAAAGCATCCATGGGACCTCTGTAGGCCTTTCCTACCCTGTGTCTGCTGCTTCAGGACTCTCTCTTCCTAGAACTTTTTCTCAAGCCCTCATGGTGGCAGGCAGCAAGGACAGGCATCCAGCAGGCAGCATGTCTGGGACTTCCCAGCTGCTGCTCAGTTAAGCCTTGGATCTCTTTGGCATCCTTGCCCTCCATGGGAATTGTGGAGTTCAGTACTGAGCAGTTACATGCTGATTCCGGAGGACGCAGCCACAAGCTGTCATGTGGGAAGCAGGTTCCTGAGAGATCGTGGGTTGGCTCCCCTGTGACTGCTAGATGGATGGCTTGGTATGGGGCATGTAGTGTTTTTCCACAGTGGTAAACCCCAGAGCAGTGGCATCTGGGGCCAGTAGCAAGTCAAAGTTATTAAAAATTGATTTGTGTGGGACAGTCTTTTTTAATGTTTACCCCTACCCCCCTTAATCTCTGTTGCCCAGACTCATTTATCAAAGACAGAGTTAAGAGCATCTCTAGGTGCTAGTCCAATCTGGCTGAAGACCCTTGCCTGTCCTTACAGGTTCTCTGAGTCTCCTGGCTCTTGTAGAGGCTCTTTGGATTAAGGGAGGTGTAAGGTAGCTTCCTTTGCCCTCTAGTTGGGAGGAGGCAGGTGGCAGGTCCCTTTGTCTCCCTACTGGGTGGTGTTCTGGCCAGCCAGCCTGTCTGCTGTCTTTCCTATAAAAAGTGAGGACAGGTCAAGGGCTTAGGCATCCCCGTCCTCCACAAGTCCTCTCTTAACCTTACCTCACACACACACACCTTCTCCAGTTTCCAAACAGCAGTCTCTGTCCTGGAAACCACCCTCAGAGGGGTTCCCATGCTCTGCCAGTGCCCCCTGCCTCTATGCCAGGACTGTCTGGTGCTTGGGCAGAGCCAGTGTCTTCCTTCACTGCTGTTAGTCCCTCTCTCTTTGGCTGTAGCTCCTGCCACAGTCCCAGCTGGGTTGATTGAATCAATTGACTGGAAATGAAGTCCAGTGGAAGAGATTAAACATGCTGAGGTCACTTTAGCTGAAGCTTTTGGCTTTACAGGTCACTCCTCCACCTCCCCCCCCACACACACACATCCCTTTACTTCTGCCCAGAATGGGCTCCTCAGCCATGAGCCCATAAAGCATCCTTGGAAAAGCCATCATGAGAGCCCCAGGGAGCCCAGGCCTATGCCAGCCCTGCCTTGGGAGAGAGAGCAGAGGGCCTCAGCTGGGGCCTTTCTTTCCCACCCTGTCCTTAGCCGGGATCCCAAACCTCGGTTGCTTTTTCAGCCTGTTTTTAGGAAGCTGGGAATACAGAACAGAACTGGCCACAGAGAGGGCAGAAAAGTTGAAAGGGGTTGGGGAAAGCCAGAGAGTCGAGACACTGGCCTGAGGCCACTCCTCATTTCTGCGTCTTCTCACCTGGCCTAGTGGGGCTTGTCAGAGCTGGAAGAAGACACCTAAAAGGGAGCAGGCTCATCACAGGGGCCTTCTGAAACCTAGGAAGGGAGAAAATTGCCTAGCGGTTTTGCATCTCCAGCCGGCCTCAGTAGAGGAACTGGCAGCGACCACACAGGCAGATGCCCCATGGAGAAAGACAAGAACCCTGGGCGCCGTGCCTCCACAGGGTGGGGGAAGGGGCGGGGTTTCCTCCCAGGGGTCCTTACTGCGACGCACCCCCCTCCTGAGCATGCTCCCCTTCCCCCCAACCCCGCGGGAGCTAGGAGATAGTACTGCTGAAGAGCTACTCTCCCTCTCGCACTTTCCAGTTCACCCAGTCGCCGAGTGCCTCCCCCGAGCTGCAGAGGGTGGGGGGCGGGGGTAGGGGGAGCCAATCCCGGCAGCGCCAAAGGGGGGAGGCGGCGGTGACAGCCGCGAGGAGGGGGCGGAGGAGAGGCGGCTCGGCTCCGCGCTCAGCTCCGCTGTGCCTCCGGCTCTGCGCTCACCTGCTGCCTAACCCTCCTTCTGTCCCAGGGCCCCGGAACAGGCCCCGCACCCCGACCCCAACCCCAACTCTTCCCAGACCCCCAGCCCCTACCCCACGCTACGCCACCAGGGGGCGCCGTGTGAGCGCCCTATCCCGGCCACCCGGCGCCCCCTCCCACGACCCAAACGGGAGGGGGGCGCCGGGGGCCATGCGGGGCCAGGGCCGCAAGGAGAGTTTGTCGGATTCCCGAGACCTGGACGGCTCCTACGACCAGCTCACCGGTAAGTCAATGGCGTGGGGGTCACAGGAGAGAGGGTAGATTCCCCGGACCCTTATACCTTTCTGATCCTGGCCTGGTCCCTATCCACCCTCTTCCCCGGTCCCAGGCAGTCCCCACTCCCGCTGATATGGGAAGCAAGACAGGGGTTCAAACCTTTGGCTCACCAGAGGGATGTGGGGGAGGTGCAGGCAGGGCAGGTGTAAGGAGGCAGCAGGTGTGGGTGTGTGTGACACAGGGATGGGAGGGTACCTAGAGTGGGAGGTGTTACGTTCGTGAGCACCTGTCATTCTTTGTGTCTCTGTGTGCGCCTCCACAGCTGGGTGCCAAGTGCCCTGGGCTTGGTGACAGCCAGGACCAGTGCGATTGTGTGGCAGGGCGGCTGTGTGTCTTGTCAGCTGGTGGAGCCCACAAAGTAGTTCTGACCATGTGTTTCCATGGCATGTAAGCTATGAGCCTGGAGTGTGATTCTGTCTGAAGCAGGTGTGCAGTTCCTGGGATGGTCCAGGGCTTCACTTTGTGTGTCACTTTGTGAGAGTTGGAGAGCCTTATGGGGTGAGCATTGAGTGATACAGCTTGGATCATGTTGTGTGTGAGAATGTTCTAGGAGCGTGCAATGCTGAGTGTGTACTTTCCCATGACAGTGCTTGCAGGGGGGTTTGGTGAATGTCCCTGATGCTTCCTGTCCTAGCTGCCTCTGGCTTCCTGGCAGGTGCAACTCTTTGGTACTCCCCTCTGCTTCCCCAAGTTCTCATGATAGCCCATGTGGACCCCACAAGCTCTAGTGCCCAGCCACCCAGCCAGGGTCCCAGGTGTGGGCAACAGAAGAGAGCTTTTGTTTAGTATTGGACTCAGACCTCCTCCCCCATCCAAAACAAATGACTTAGATTGTTCTAAAGGGGAAAGCTTCCTCACCCCTCACAGTCTTTCCAGAACTTTGCCTAGACCCCAAGGAAGGCAGACACAGCCTCCTCCTTGTCCCCCTTTCACAGCCAGAAATAGCAGTCCTAGGTCTGGGACACACCATGTGGCCTTCCAAACCACCCTGCTGCCTAGGCACCCTCTTGTTGCCACATTGGGAAGGCCTGTGAGGCCCTGCCCTTAGAGCCTGGGCTTACCCCTGGGTCTGGTGGGCAGACCTGTTTGTGTGGGTGACTGAGTCACTGTTTGTGTTTCCCCTTGTGTGTGCCTCTCTCTGTGCAGCCTGCACAAGAACTTCAACAGAGCCAGAGGAGAAAGGCCAGCCCCCTCTCCGCCAGCTGACAAAGCCAGGTCCCTGATCTTTGTCCTTCGTGAAGAGGTTAAGGTTGGAGATATGAGGAGGCTGTCAGGTGTGGGGATGCAGGTGTGATGCAGCCAGGATGTATGGAGGCTGGAGCCCAAGTGTCTCCTCCATTATCTGACCCCCCAGGCCCTCACTGTCTTACTGAGAACCCCTGCAAGGGCCATTCCTACCAACCCCAGGTGTGCCAGACTCAGAAGGAGTCCATCCAAAGGCAGGACTCTTCCCCCAGCTCAGGATCCCCTGAGATCAGGGAGGGCCCTGGGACCCCCATTAGCACCACATTAGTCAGTGTTTACTTCCTACCTTAATGGAATCTCTCCTTGAGTGAAGTCATCCTTTCCCCCACTTGAATCAGAGAGGGAGCTGGGGAGGGGAGCACCTGTAATCTGAATGTGCAGAGCTTCAGGTCAGCCAGGAATGAACAGATATTAACTGGAGACCCTCTGGATCTCACTTTTCTTATCTGTAAAATGGGGGATACGGCTGCCTGCCAGCCAGCTTACCCGCCAGCCAGCCTGCCTGTCTCACACACAACCGCCCAAGGGAAAACTAGAGAAGGTGAGGCGGCGGCGCTGTGGAGAGCTTCCACGCAGGACATGGAAAGTAAAAGCAGGACGTGTGGGAGTGGAGGAGATGGGAGGAAGGGGGAGGGTCTCCTCTCCCGGCGAGGACAGCCTTGGGCGGCCCGGGATGCGTTGGGACACGTTGCCGGTAGGGATGCTGAGCGCTTTCCCAAGGCGCCCGCGCTGATGGCGAAAGCGGAGTCGTTGTCCACGGTGCTGAAGTGCGCACCCTGGCACCGGAGCCTTTCCCTCAGGCGTGAGACACAAAGTGGGGGCGGGGTGGTCACCAGGTCCACCAAGGCTGACGAGGGAACGGCAGCTCCAAGTTACATTTCAGAGCATCTTGGGCCACCCCCCGCCTGCCTTCCTTCTCCCACTGCCACTCCAAATTCCAAAACAGCTGTGAGGATTTTTCCGGGAAAGAGAAAAAAATCTCAGCTCTACCCGCCCCCTTCAGCTAGTTAACCCCTCAGGTAGGCCTGACCCAGAAGGACCGCTGCGTGGGACAGTGGAGAAAGGCTGCGAGCAGAGGCGGCCCTGGCCTAACGGAGAAACGACTGAAGCAGGACCCGGCTGCCCAGGCCTGAGCTCCGGTCCCGGGGCTGGGCTCGCCTGTGGCCCGGTCGCTCCAGCCCGGCGTGGTTTTCGGGACTGCGGCGCCCCCGTGTGGCTTTGAGCGACCATGCATGCGGAGTGATCCTGACTTGGGGACAGTCGCCGGCAGTCAAGTGGGGAAGATTCTGGTGGAGTTGGATGATGACTCCCGCTCCTTCGGTGTAGGATTGTAAACCCGAAAGAACGGGATCCCAGCTGAAGGAATGGGACCCCATCTCTCCTGCAGGCTTTCCTGAAGTTTGGAGGCATTCGAGGCTCCTGAAAACCTTGACTCCGGGGGAACTGCTTGGGGGATAAAGGGAGCGGCCCACTGGTGTGTAACGACAGAGCCTGAAGGCCTGCGAGCCCGAGACAAAGGGACGCAGATCAACAGGAGAAACAGATCGGGAGCCAGGTTACCGGGGGGGCCCACTGCAGCCGCCTCTTCGTTGCCACCCCAACACCCTCACCGCCCTCTCTCCTCCCTCCTGCTCCTTCTCCCATTGGTTCCCGAACTGTAGAAGTGTGGGGAGTTGCCATGACAACCATGTCCTCTTACCCCGTGGCTACAAAAACCAGCCGAGGAGGAAAGTGGCTGCAGGGGTGTGACAGAAGGTGGAAGGGCGGAAAGGGGGCGATAAATAGAGAAGGTCCATTTCCCTTGTAAGTCTGTTAAAATTCCATATGTTCCCCGCTTCCCGCCAGAAACCCCGACAACACTCCCCTCTCACGCCCCACCCGCGCCTCCCACCTCCCACCTCACAGCGCTCCAGAAACTTTGGGGCGAGTGCATCAGGGTCTGGGGGAGTCCCCCTTGTGCATCTGTGAAAGGAGAGGCGGGAGGGCGGGTCCTTCCACTCCAGGCTCACTCCGCGGGGGCGGGGACCTGAGCACTGTGGCCGTCCTTGCGGGCGGAGCTTGGCCACAGAGCGCCCAGCCCGACCATGAACCGCTGCCCCCGCAGGTGCCGGAGCCCTTTGGGGCAGGCAGCACGATCCCTCTACCAGCTGGTGACTGGGTCACTGTCGCCAGGTATGAAAGGGACGGGAGGGGCAGCACTCCTGAGGAAGTGCCTGCAGTGGGACCAGGAAGGGAAGCCCCTACCCTCAGGTGGAGGAGCAAGTGCTCTTCAAGAACCGGGTCCAGAGGGCAAGATCCATCCCCTCCTGAAGCCCAGCAAGGACCACAGCTAGAGATGGACGCTTCAGAGTGGAGAGGAGAGGGGACATCCCGGCTCCACCCTGGTGGAGGAGGGGGCTTAAGTTAAGGCCAGGGCTCCTTTCTCGGTGATGAAAGGAGGAAGCTAGGCAGAGCCAGGAATGTCTGCTGAGTTCTGCACTATTTGGCATCAGGATGCCTCAGGGGAACAGACAGGTCAGGGTCAAGAAAGAAAGGACCCCAAGAAGGGGCTGGGCCAGTGGGAGCTCAGCTCGTGTATGGTGGACAGGCCGGGAAGGCATAGACCACAGGGTGAGGGCTATCACCTGGCTGTTATGAGACCCCATGTTTTGGGGGTTGCATGACCCTGGGATTCCATAGACTAGTCCTCTGTGTTCTGTGCTTGAGGGCTGGGGGCTTCTGATTCCCCTTTTGTGCGAGCTGTGTAGCCATTGTGGGGCTGGACCCTGGTGTGAGATTTGTGGGAACAGATGAAGTGTACATTATGGGCATTCTGTGGCACTGCTGAGGTTTGTGTAACTCCATTTGGATTTTCTTAGGGCCACTGGGCAGAACCCACAGGACCTAGCATCTGCTTCCCACCTGCCCTCCTGAGGCCTAAAACTGCCTTGCCTGTGGCATTCTGGGCTCTGTAGTTTCTCAGCTGTCTCCAGTTGTATCCACTTGAGCCCCTGGAGCATTGGTGGAACCTGTGGCCTCTGCTTATCCTGTACACGTGTAGAAGGAAGGGAGATGATGCTGTGCTGAAAATGGGTTTAAAAGCCTCAGGGGGAACATGCGTCCCCAAACCCCTTGCTTGGGCCTGTCCCCAGTGACAGATGGCTAGAGTCAGGCAGGGCTAGCTCTCAATCATTTCAGGCGTGACTTCCAGCACCCAAAATAGTGCCAGCGTCTAGGGAAGCCATTAATCACTGCATGCAGCCGGGGCTACAGCATTGTTCGGCCTCAATGGGTCTATAGAGGTCTGAGGGACTTGGGCTTTTCATGGCTGAGTAATGGTGGGGATGTGTGGTGACACGGGCAGAGCAGGGAGTAGGGCAAAGAAGGGACAGAACCCCCACAAAGCAGTGTGGTGGCAGTGTGAACCTGTGAGAGGGGCTGTGAGCAAGGTGGTGTCCCCTGAGTTTTGCCTGAAGGGCTTCCATGGGGTTTTACTCTGACAGGCAAAGAGGTGAGCCCAGATGGGATGCTCTGGCAGAGGGGGCTGGACAGATTTGCACAGGTCAACCCTTTCCAGGTCTTGCTGGAAAGGGTTCATTCCTTGACTTCTGTAGACCCTCCCTCCCACTGAGGCATGAGTCCCTGGGAGGCTGGGGCAGGCCTTTAAGAGTTCTGGAGGGGTGTGAGAGGACAAGGAGGGTCCAGGAGGAAGCTGCTGGCTGC